GTTTCCTGACCCTATGAAGTTAGGCCAACATTATTGCCCATGATGTTCGCAAGATAAAACCAAGGCAAAAGAGTTTGTCAATGTGCTCACAAAGATACATTTAAACATCCTGACCCTTGTGTCCCCAAACTCCCACTTGGCTGAAAATTATGTCTGGGCTGTCACTAGATACCAGCTGAAATGCGGAACAGACTGTCACTCGGTCAGCTGGCTCTTTCATCTCCATGATAGCAGACAGAAGACATTACATTTGATGTGATTTATTTCCTTTGCATGGAATTGTATCCACCAGTTGCTTTATCGTCAAATAAACCCGCTTTAGTTCCCCTGGGGCGAGGGGAGGGGAGAAGGAGGGGAGGTCAGGCGGTGCAGATTAATTTCCAGGGTCCCCCCAGGATGTTAGTAATAGCCTTATCACTTTGCATGGCCAAATAAAAGAGATGGGAATCAAAGAGGAGAGATGAAGACTTAGTCATTCCCTGAAAGAATTCATCCCAAATCCTGATCTATGTCCAAATGGGCTCCTTTAAGCAATTCTTTACAGTGTGAACCTCATTCCACTGTGGAGCTTGGGGGTACAGTCAAAGCCGCCCTTTCTCCTTTCTTGGCCCCCTCCCTTCTGTGGCTCCTCTCTATGTGTCTATCATGTGCATGCACGTATCTTTGGAATGGATTTCGTGTGTGTTCATGCCGTTCATAGAGCTTCCTTCAAGGTCTCTTTTCTGGACCCGCAGATAACTTCCTGCTTGGTTTCCTCCCTTATCACTCACCACACACACGAGCCCCCGCCAGGAGGGAGAAAATCCTTCTCTTTTGCTTCTTGAACTTGCGATCCTTTGGTCTTTGCAGCCCAGAAGAATCTCATTACTGACAGCATGACAGGCACGTGGGAGTGAGTGGTGCTGCCTTCCCAGCTGTTTGATGAGATTTCTGAGTGGCAGCTAAAGGAGCCGGCCCTGAGATAACAGGAAAGCTCTGAGAGAGTTTGCCTCGCTTTAAGGAATCCCATTGTATGGAAAGGGGGAAATGACAAAGGTGAAGCTGGGACCCTCACCTCATTCCCACTGGCAAAGGCTCCACACTGTCCGAAAGCATTCTCCATGGGGCTCTTTGGAAGAGCAGGCCCCACTTGGTGCATTTTAGGAATGTTTCATTTTACAAAAAACTTAAACACAATTTTCGAGACCAAGGCTATAGTGTGAGCTGAAGTTTGCTGCTGTGACGAAGCTGTCCATTCTCAGCTCTCGGGTCTTTTTTTTTTTTATTTTTTTTTTATTTTTTTGAAAACCTAAGATAATTTTCAGACTTTTAGGGGTACCAAGTGGTAAAGTGCTGTCTCGGGAGTCCAGTGCGAGCTGCTGAAAACATGACAAGAGCAACTAACAAGATATAAACTGAATTATCCAAATTCTGGGGGGGCCTTTGACCTTTGAACTCACAAAGTCTTTCTTTTTCCTCTTCTGGGTATGCTACCTGGAAGCATTCAGAAATGTCCCAGCATGTGACAGTACAATCGTAGGCTTCCCTACAAAGCCTCTAACAAAATTAGGCTGTCCCGAGCCCCTAGAGAAGAACTATTTACCCTTATGCCAGTGATATGGTTTGGCTCTGTGTCCCCACCCAAATCTCATGTGATGTTGAAATCCCCATATGTTGAAGGAGATGCCTGGTGGGAGGCGATTGATGATTGGATGATAGTGACAGATTTCCCCATGCGGTTCTCGTGATACTGATTGAGTTCTCACGAGATCTGGCTGCTTAAAAGTGTGTTGCACTTCCCCTTCTCTCGCTCTCCTGCTCCACCATGGGAAGGCAAGCTTGCTTCCCTTTTGCCTTTTGCCATGATTGTAAGTTTCCTGAGGACCCCAGTCATGCTTCCTGTTAAGACTGTGGAACTGCAGGGTGTGGTGGTGCGTTCCTGTAGTCCCAGCTACACAGGAGGCTGAGGTGGGAGGATCGCTTGAGCCCAGGAGTTCTGGGCTGTACTGCGCTATGCTGATTGCGTTCCACACTAAGTTCGGATCAATATGGTGACCTCCAGGGAGTGGGGGACCACCAGGCTGCCTAAGGAGGGGTGAACTGGCCCGGGTCGGAAATGGAGCAGGTCAGAACTCTGGTGCTGATCAGTAGTGGGATCAGGCCTGTGACTAGCCACTGCACTCCAGCCTGGGCAACATAGCGAGACCCCGTCTCTAAAAATAATTAATTAGTTAATTTTTTTTAAACTACAGAACTGTGAGTCAATGAAACCTCTTTTCTACACACACACACACACACACACACAGAGAGAGAGAGAGAGAGAGAGAGAGAAACCTCTTTTCTTCATAAATTACCCGGTCTCAGGTAGGTCTTTACAGCAGCATGAAAACAGACTAACACAATTAAGAAGGCTGAGAGTGCACCTAAACCTGCTTGTGGCGTATGCCCAGGCAGACTTTGAGGGGTTCATGCTGTGAGACCTGAAGTTCTTATGAGATTGCCCAAAACAAAAAACACATCAGCAGGGTCTATGGTGGTTCCGTGTGTGCTAAATGTGTTCATGACAGGATCAAACATGCTTTCCTCATCAAGGAGCAGAAAATTGTTGTGAAAGTATTGAAGGCACAAGCACAGAATCAGAAAGCTAAATTTTAGAAATGAAACTTTTTTTTTTCTTTTTGGAGACTGAGTCTCACTCTATCACCCAGGCTGGAATGCAGTGATGTAATCTTGGCTCACTGCAACCTCCGCCTCCTGGGTTCAAGTGATTCTCTTGCCTCAGTCTCCTGAGTAGCTGGGACTACAGGCACACACCACCACACTCGACTAATTTTTTGTATTTTTAGTAGAGACAGAGTTTTGCCGTATTGGCCAGGTTGGTCTCAATCTCCTGACCTCAGGTGATCCACCTGCTTTGGCCTCCCAAAGTGCTGGGATTACAGGTGTAAGCCACCGCACCCAGCCAAAAAAAAAATTGAAACTTTTTAAAGTGATTAAAAAGTGTTTTTAATTCTTATTGACCAAAGTCAATGAGGATAGTTGCAGAACATTGGGAATGTACTGACCTGTACACTAAGAAATAGCTAAGGGCGGGCTCGGTGGCTCATGCCTGTAATCCCAGCACTTTGGGAGGCCGAGGCCAGTGGATCACCTGAGGTTAGGAGTTTGAGAGCAGCCTGACCAACATGGTGAAACCCTATCTCTACTAAAAATACAAAAATTAGCCAGGCCTGGTGGCAGATGCCTGTAATCCCAGCTACTAGGGAGGCTGAGGCAGGAGAATCACTTGAACCCGGGAAGTGCAGGTTGGAGTGAGCCAAGATCGTGCCACTAAACTCCAGCGTGGGCAACAGAGCAAGACTCCATCTCAAAAAAAAAAAAAGGGTGGGCACAGAAGGCCAGGCACAGTGGCTGACTCCTGGAATCTCAGCACTTTGGGAGGCTGAGGCAGGTAGATCGCTTGAGCCCAGGAGTTCAAGACCAGCCTGGGTAACATAGGGAAACCCCATCTCTACAAAAAATTAGCTAGGTGTGGTGGCACATACCTGTGGTCCCAGCTACTCAGGAGGTTAAGGTGGGAGGATCACTTGAGCCCAGGAGGTAGAGGCTGCAGCGAGCTATGATTGCACCACTGCACTCCAGCCTGGGCAACAGAGTGAGATCCTGTCTCAAAAAAAAAAAAAAAATGGTTAATATGGAAAATTTCATATTATGTTTATTTTACTGCAATTAAAAATTTTTAAATAAGAAAAGTAAATTAGGACGTGTTTAACCATCGTTCTAGGTACTGCAGACTCAATAGTGAGCTCAGAAGACAATAATCACAGCCCTTGCAGAGTTTATGTTCTAGTGGAAGACAGACTATCAATAAGATTTTTTAAAAAAATTGATTTAAAAATGGCCAGGCATGGTAACTCATTCCTATAATCCCAGCACTTTGGGAGGCTGAGACGTGTGGATAGAGGTCAGGAGTTTGAGACCAACCTGGCCAATATGATGAAACCCTGTCTCTACTAAAAATACAAAAATTAGGCTGGGCATGGTGGTAGGCACCTGTAATCCCAGCTACTCAGGAGGCTGAGCAGGAGAATTGGTTGAACCCGGGAGGTGGAGGTTGCAGTGAGCCGAGATCGTGCCATTGCACTCCAGCGTGGGCAATAGAGTGAGACTCGGTCTCAAAAAAAAGAAAAGAATTTCAGTTGAAGATGCTGTATAATTTAAAAAAAAAAAAAAAAAAGAAAGAAAAGAAAAATTAGGTGGGTGCCTACGGGCCTCAGCCGAGCCCGGGGCAGCCCTGCGCTCGCGGAGGCGTGGCCGGCGCGCAGGGATGGGGGTCACGGTGGACGTGCACCAGGTGTACAAGTACCCCGTCGAGCAGGTGGTCACCAGCTTTCTCCGAAAGTACCTGAACCCCATGGATGAAAATGTCATCTCTGTAAAAATCACGGAGGAAAAAAGAGATGAATCAACAGGGATCATCTACTGAAAGAGGATTGCAATCTGTCAGAATGCGGTTCCAGAAATTTTAAGGAAGGTGAGCATTTTGAAAGTACCTTATATCCAATTAGAAGAGGAGTCATGGCTCAATCCTTGGGAAAGAAACATGGTTATACGGAGTCACTGCCTTACATGGACACAGTGTGCATCCATAAGACAGAGTCTGTCTTCCGGGAAAGTATGGAAAACCCAAATTGGACAGAGTTCATTCAAAGAGGCAGAATTTCAATCACAGGAGCTGGATTTCTCAACTGCATTCTAGAAACTTTTGCCAGCACATTCTTAAGACAGGGAGCCCAGGAGGTAATTAGAATTATGGAGATGCTGCTAAAGGAACAGCGTGGTGCCCCCTTCGCAGAATAAAGCATCATCAGAGAGCTGTATCGGTGTCTACTTTTTTTTGTTGTTTTTTTTGGGTGGGGAATCACTTCTTGGCCACAACACATCAGACACAGTTTCTGGAATACAGGTTTGAGGATACAGTGTCGGCAGCTTCAAGAAGAGGAGACCTTCTTGCCAGTACATAATATGATACCCTCCTCTGGGAGCCTGCTTCGAATAGTGGGACTCAGGGAGTTGAGACCTTCTTGCTGGATTTTTTATGACACAATCTGTTTACAATTTTACAAATAAAGGAAAAAACCCGTGCAAGATGATGTGTGCCCTTCCTCAGGGTGTTCTGCTGATTGTCTGGTTATGCTGTCAGGGCAGCTAAGGACAGGATAAAGGCCTGGAGAGGGTGCTTGTGCCCTTATGTTATCAGCACTGTTGTTCATAAGATTTGTGAGGGGATTCTGGAACCAATAAGGGTGTTGAAACTAGTACCTGATTCATGAGTGGACTGGAACAAACAGGAAAGTACCAGACCAACGTTGGAGCTAAGCTTTATAGCAATGTTTAAGATTCTCAGAAATCAGGAGATTTTTATCTCTATCCATAAGTAATTTGTCACCGCCATTAGTATAGCTTTTATAATGTAACATGTAAACTGCGATTTGGTCCTCTGAAAAAAAAAAAAAGATGAAATATAGAGTGAGAAGGCAGGTTCTCACCTTGACTCCTGTTAATTTGTTCTGTGATGTGGAGCAAATAATTAACCTGTTTTTTTTTTTACTGGGCAAATGGGGATACTCAGGCACAGGTCTTTCTGGCAATGGGTTATGATGATTAAACAAGGTAATTTTGTGCAGGTTTGTAAGTTGACAGACCTGGGTTTGAATCCAAGTGCTGGCACTTACTTGCTCAGTGATCATGAATGTAATTTTGAATCTTCCTGAACCTAAAAAATTTGTGAAACAAAGGGATGGAATTAACTTTGTGAGATTGTTGGACTGATATGGGATCACGCATGTGAAGTGGCTAGCGCACTCTGCCTGGTGCATAGTAGAAGTCCAGGAAATGGAAGTCATTATTATGTAAAACATTCTGCAAATGTACTTTTTAATTGTATCGTAAGGTGGTACTACTGTTGAAACTTAAAATAAAAAAAAAAAGAAATGAAAAATTAATAAGGTTTTAAGTCAGACAGTGTTAAATACTATGGAGAAAAATAAAGCAGAGAAAGGGGATGAGGCAGCTGGCAGGGGTGGAAGGTTGTGTTGTCCTACCCTTGTGGGTGACAGGCAGAGAGTAGGTAGGTGAGGGAGGGGGCAGGTGGATGTCCAAGAGAGGAGCAACACGCGAGAGTGTGCTAGTCCGTTTTGGGTTGCTGTAAAGGAATACCTGGGGCTGGGCCATTTATTTAGCCCACCGTTCCACAGACTACAGGAAGCATGGCATCAGCATCTGTTTCATGTGAGGCCGCAGGAAGCTTCTACTCACGGTGGACAGCAGAGGGGGAGCTGGCCAGGAAAGAGTAGGGAGATGCCAGGCACTTTTTTTCTTTTTTAGGCAGTCTTACTCTGTCACCCAGGCTGGAGTACAGTGGTGTGATCTTGGCTTATGGCAACCTCTGCCTCCCAGGTTCAAGCAATTCTCGTGCCTCAGCTTCCCAAGAAGCTGGGATTACAGGAATGCACCACCACACTGGGCTAATTTTTGTTTTTTAGTAGAGACGAGTTTCGCCATGTTGGCCAGGCTGGTCTCAACTCCTGGCCTCAAGCAGTTCGCTCAGCTAAGCCTCACAAAGTGCTGGGATTGCAGGTGTGAGCCACCATGCCAGGCTGCCAGACTCTCTAAATAAGCAGATCTTTCATGAACTAATAGAGTGAGATCTCACTCATCACCAAGAAGGGGGCAGCAAGGCATTTACGAAGGATCCACCCCCATGACCCAAACACCTCCCACCAGGCCCCACATCACATTTCACCAAGAAATCTGGAAGGGACAAACATCCAAACCATTTCAAAGAAGGAACAGCAAGGCCAGTGTGGCTGGAGCACAGAGTATGAAGAGAAGGTCGGACAGGGCTTCCAGGCCATTGCAATGACTTTAATTTTGAATCCGTGAGAGATGGGTCCCCTGAGAGGTTTTTAAGCACAAAGGTGACGTGATCTGACTTGACTGCAGTGTAATTTATATACCACAAGACCCACCCATTTTAAATGTACAATTTAATGATTTTTAGGAAATATACAGAGTCGTGCAATTGCCACCACAACCCAATTGTAGAACATTTCCATCACCCTAAAAAGACATCTCATGCCTATGACTTACAATGTAAAGGGATCTGCTGGGCTCCTGTGTTAAAAATAGCAATAAGAGGTAGAAGCAAAGAAAGTATTGGAAAGAAACATTTCTTTTCACGGTACACGTGAATGACAATGAGTTCTAAGAGCAGAAGGGTAAAGACATGACTGATGAAGCTTTTCCAGCTACTGCCTTAATGCCAAAGTTATAACAGGATGAAAGGCCTTCAGCTGTAACAGTAAAACTAGGATATTAATAACTTCATGAGAACTGTTTAAAAATGGGAAATGCAGGCATAATGTCGATGACTCGACTCCTGAACTTGAACTTAATCCCTACCCTCTTTTACATAAAAATATTTCTAGGCAGGGTGCGGTGGCTCACACCTGTAATCCCAACACTTTGGGAGGCCGAGGCGGGCAGATCACTAGGTCAAGAGATTGAGACCATCCTGGCAAACACAGTGAAACCCCGTCTCTACTAAAATACAAAAAATTGGCTGGGTGTAGTGGCGCGCACCTGTAGTCCCAGCTACTCAGGAGGCTGAGGCAGGAGAATCGCTTGAACCCAGGAGGCAGAGGTTGCCACTGCACTCCAGTCCCACAACAGAGTGAGACTCCGTCTCAAAAACAAAAAGTCTGAATATTTCTTTTTTTTTTTTTTTTTTTTTTTGAGACAGAGTTTCGCTCTTGTTACCCAAGCTGGAGTGCAATGGCGCGATCTTGGCTCACCGCAACCTCTGCCTCCTGGGTTCAAGCAATTCTCCTGCCTCAGCCTCCCGAGTAGCTGGGACTACAGGCACGCGCCACCATGCCCAGCTAATTTTTGTATTTTTAGTAGAGACGGGGTTTCACCATGTTGACCAGGATGGTCTCGATCTCTTGAACTCACGATCCACCCGCCTCGGCCTCCCAAAGTGCTGGGATTACAAGCGTGAGCCACCGTGCCCGGCCAGTCTGAATATTTCTAAAGCTATATAGGGCTCTCTTAATGTCTTAAAAATTCACAATAAGAAAAGCTGATGACAGCAGTAGGAACAAATCCCAAACATGTTTCAGCAAACACTCCTTGTCCCTGCAGTAAAGGGGCAGTGACACCTCCTCATATCCATTATTATTAAAATGTTTAAATCCCAGTTTCTTTTGTCAGTCTTGAAAACTGGGAGCATTCTACACTGAATCCACATTATGATCTGAAGGATTTTCTGTCCCCATGGAAGGGACTTGCTTGACACTATAAGTGGTACCCATGCCAGATGCGGTGGTTCACTCCTGTAAATCCCAACACTTTAGGAGGCTAAGGCGGGAGGATTACCTGAGCCCAGGAGTTTGAGACCAGCCTGGGCAATCTAGCAAGACCTCCTCCCCTCTAAATTTAAAAAATCAGCCAGGCATGGTGATGGACACCTGTAGTCCCAGCTACTTGGGAGGCAGAGGCAGGAGAATCACTTGATCTCATCGGGCTGAGGCTGCAGTGAGCCATGATTGCACCACAGCACTCTAGCCTGGGCAACATAGGCAGACTCTGTCTCAAAAAAATTAAATTAAATTAAATTAAATTAAGCAGTACCTGAGTGAGGATTTTTTGTAGTTTACCAGAAGGCTGAAGTCTTCTAGTATTACACGGTTTTGAACCAAATAGTGGATTTTGACTTTTTTTTTTCCAGCAGCTGTGACAGCAGCCAGTATCATCTTTTTCCAGTAGGTTTCCATTCAGGAACAGTCAGGTAGTAATGGGCTCTGATCTCCTGTCCACATCTACCTTGGGTGGGTCTAGGGCAAGCTTGTCCAAACAGTGGTGTGCTGGCCGCATGCACCCAGGACGGCTTCGAATGCAGCTCAACACAAACTAGTAAACCTTCTCAAAAAGTTTACGCAAAGAGTTGTGAGATTTTCTTTTTTTTTTTTTTTTTTGTTATTAAAAACCAAAATTGTGAATT